CCCCAAAACCCCAAAACCCCAAAACCCCAAAACCCCAAAACCCCATTTTCACTTTTTAAGCTTTAATATGTAATATCTATACTATTCTTATGGTCTTAAAATTTCTTTTACTTTCTCATTGACCATAAACATTACGCCCGCACTAATGAAAATCTTGTTTCATGCTGGGACGAGTCCATAGTAAAATCCGCCCATTCCATGTCTGCGGTATACCTTTTGTACACAATCACCAATGGTTGAGTATCTTCTCGCGAATCATGTCTGTCACTTCACTTGTAACCTTCTTCTTATAGATTCTATTGGAAAGATGATTCATCATCATATCATTCCTGAGAAAGATCCGCAGATCATATTCACCAGTGAAAAGTATGGAGAATCAGGCTTCCTTGCAAATACAGACTTCAGGTAGTCGAAGCAAGTCATATTTAGAGCTATATCAAAAATGAGTTTTGCTGATGTTGGTATGAGTCACAAAACGAGAATTTCTGGAAGTTAAAAACTTATTTTGATGAAAATGTGACTCACCTATATATGGAGTAACACTACACATTGTAGCAGTATATCCATGATATAAACCTCTCAAACCATCTTTTCTATAGGTATTTCTTAAGATAGTTCTGATGTTTCCAGCTTTTCCATCAAAATCCCCAGCCATGGTGGTCTTGACTGGATCCAAGACATATGTAATTGTACTAGACATGAATCCAGCCATAGCTCCACTCAGAACATGAACTGGGAATTCAGGATCTTCCGGCTTCTTATTATCCATTAATGTTGACTTGAATCTTTCATAAAAGAAAAACATTAGTCCTGCTCCTGGAAACTCACGAATGCAACTAACTGCACTTCCTCTAAAGATGGAGTGTATCCCTTTGGTTTGAGCAATTTTATAAATAGAACGAAGCAGGCTTTTGCCAGCAATTTCTTGAACACCTAGGATTCTCATCATCTTAATTCTTTCAAGTGGATGGGTGGCAGTCATAGCTCATATTCCTGCTACTCCTCCAGCTAGAAGATTTTTAGTATCTTCGCTGTAAAGCTTAGTCTTGATGTATTCATTGGTGTCCATGATTTGGTCTATAAAAAGTTAATACCAAACTGTTATGATAAATCTCCCTTAAGCAATACCATAAAGCATTGAGTGAGCTATCAAGTAGCTTCGAATTCAAGAAAATTCATTATGACTAAGCAAATTAGGGCAACCAATAAGGTCTAGTTACATTTTTCCATTTATTTATAGCCAAGAGATTATTCAATAATATAGCAATCAAACGGGGTTTTGGGGTTTTGGGGTTTTGGGGTTTTGGGGTTTTGGGGTTTTGGGG